TGTTCAAAGCCAGATTGGATGGGGCCCTGGGCAGCCTGGTCTAGCATTAGGTGGGATGGTGGTGGCCCTGCGTGTGGCAGGGAGGTTGGAGATTCATGACCCTTGAAGTCCCTTCCAACCCTGCCAATTCTGTGATTCTGTGACATAGCAGTGAAGGAGAGGGGCAAGCAGGGGGTCCTCCCTCTGCCCTCTTTACCTCATTGTCTTCCTTCTCACCTTAAACAGAGCATCCAGCTGCAGGGTTAGGGACCCCAGCCTGCCCCACTGTACCCCATAAACCCTCATAGGTGGGCATGGGATCCATTCTACTCCAAGGAACCCATTCACACCTGTAAGAAGGGGACCCATGTGGCAAGGACCCATCTCACCCCACATCCCACTAAAAGGGAGCAATGAACCACCATACCTAAGCTCCATCCTGCACCACAGACCCCATAACCCCAACCCACATGGTCAGGGGATACAGGGGCACTCACCATGCTGGAGCCATGGAGCTGAGCCTCCTCCAAAGTTTCCAAGGTTTGAAGCAGCCGAGAAAGTGGCTCGAGCCAATGGGATGCAGGTTCTGTACCTCCAGGGCCACCCCCACTGGTCCCCATGAAGGGGACAGGGCCTGGGGGCACTGGTCTTTGGGGCAGAAATCATTTCCTCAGCTGATCCTTCCATCCACCTATATTTCCATCCATTCTTTCACACGATGATCCTTCAATCCATTCTTCCATCCATCCCTCCAAAAGTTCTTTCCTGTGTTGGTCCCTCTTGTTCATCTACTCCTCTCTTCATCTGTGCGAATCCAAGCAGCCTCACCATTACCCACCAGAACCTCCTCTGGAGCTTTGGGGGATTTCTCCACATGCCTTCAGGCATTTCCTTGTGAACCTGCTGGCAGTGTCCTCGCTTAATCATAGTGCTGATTTTCTGGTTCCTCCCACACAATCACACCATCCCTTCACTCAGCAGCCCTCCCTATTCATAGTTTAAAGCCTCTCTCATGAAGCTGCCGTCCTACTGATGAAAATATCCTCGCATCCCTTAGGGAGGTGGGTCCCACCTCTTCCAAGCAGACATCAATCCACAAATAGATCCCCCAGCCACAGAACCCAAGGCCCTGCTACCAGCACCAGTCCTGCAGCCAATGACTGGCATGCACCACCAGTGCCCTCCTCTTCACGCCTGTCCCACAGCAGCACCACAGCCTCTGTGCCCCTGACTACTGGCCCGAGAGCTCTGCAGTCACATTGATGACGTTCCCATGTTCCCCAGCAGCATCACCTGTGCTCACCTTTCCTGGTGGCCTCACACAGCGATCTGCACAAGGAATAAGGTTGGGTGCACCTCTGCTTCCTACCCAGCACTGAGGGCGCTGGAGCTGCATTGGAGCTGCGAGCCCTTCTGTGGGGCAGGAGCATCCTCTGCTGCCAGGAGTCTCCAGCTTCAGTCTGTCACCAGATGTGAGGCTGTGCTGCAGGGCTGCAGTGCAGGGCCTGCAACTCAGAAAAGCCCCGAGCAGTCTGTGATGCCTTCAGAGCATTAGAAACCAACAGTTACCAACAGTTACAAACACCTGCAAAAGCAAACAAGAACCACGTTCTGTAGTGATAAGAACACACAGCTTAGCAGACAGGAGCGTAGGACTTAGGAGAAAGTTGCATTTCAGAGGTTGATAGGGAATCTCACATCACACAAAGGCACCAAAACCAGAGTTTCTAGCAACCGTGTTACCCAGGAGCCCCACAAGGCAGAGCTGGCATGATCTGGCATGTGACTCCAGAACAAGGCAGCCAGTATAAGGCATCAGGCAGTGCTGATGAGATGCGCATTATGGACAGGTCATTTCTTCGTAGGTACTGTTCCAGTGACAGCACACTGTCCAGAATAAGTGCTTAACACACAAACCTCAACAATTTACACTTCCACCAGTCAAGTCAAACAGACCAAGACCATGAGGCTGACCTGTAACCAGGCACAGTGCAGCTAGACTTCCTTCTGCAGTCACTGGGGCAGCTTCCCCACCTCCAGATCTATAGGGAACATACAAACAAAGTGCAGCAAGGCTGCTTTGTGCCTCACAGAGAACAAGTTGAAGGTTTACGAGGACCGTGGAGACGTGGCACCGAGGGACAAGGTCAGTGGGCATGGTGGGGGTGGGCTGGGGTTGGACTTGGTGATCTTAGAGGTCGTTTCCAAACTAAATAATTCTATTATTTGATGACGTAACGTCATGATTACATTTTACATGATTTTTTGGGGGCACGGGTGAATCATCTTGCAAAAACTGAGGCAAGCCTGCATTCTCTTCTTGTAATGACAAGGTTCATTTTCCCCTCTGCAACTTCCTACAGTCTACCAAATTAAGCAAACTTGGACACAGGTTTTACTGGTAAATGCCAGGGCAGAGGGACAGCTTGCAAGGAAACAAGAAAGCCTGTACAGATTTGGCTAAAGCATTCTGTTTAAAAAAGGTGACAGTGAAAATAGGATTTCTTGAAAAGAATTGTTTACAGCTTTTTTAAGAGACAGCTTTATTAAGGATGCCTCATGCTAAGATTGATGGGTTTCTAATTCCTGAATTACAGAGGAAATGTAAACACAGCGGGTTAAATAAATCCTAGCAGGAAAGTGCCAAATTCTAAAGCAAAAGACCCAGGAACAATTCCACCTACTGCACTCCCTCAAGAGCCTCAATGGAACCTCTTATCTATTCGCAGAGCGCCCAGTGCGAGTGGGTCGGCTGTTCTGGGGGAGAAGGATTGGGAACCATATTCCAATTTGTATCCTTGGAAAGAGATGAGAGAAACAGCTCCACGTAACAAACAAGAACGAAATGATGGTCGATCTCCAGTGCAACGGGTACAGGACCAACGACCCCACGTGGAGCTCCAAATGTTTTGAAAAAACTGGTCCTCGCAAACTGTAAGAGCCTCAAGTGACCCTGGAGCAGAGGCCTCTTAATATATGGAAACCCCAAGAAACGTGAAGGACAATCACTAATAGAGTTGGGAGGGAAACAAATGGAAGCTGTGAAAATACAAATAGAAATGAAAATAGGAAACCTCCTGAAATGACTGTATCCTGTCATGATTGTCCCTGTCCCAGAGTACATCATAGGGATCGGTATTCCAAAAGGACTCACCTTGAATCTTCCCAATGGTCAGCACCAATTTGGAATAAAGAACTGTATCAGTGCTCCAATAATTTTAGTGGGAAAAGTAAAAATGCCTGCTGGGCAGATTCCTGCTGCAACTGAAGTAGTGACAATGAAACAATATAGGACTCTGGGGGGGCATGAAGAGATATCACGGACAATTAATAATTTATTGGATGCAGGAGTTTTAAGTCAACTACTACAGCTTGGAACAATCCAATATGGCCTGTCAAAAAGCGATGGGTCATGGAGGGAATTAAATAAGCACAGCCCGCCTCTCACAGCGGCTGCAGCAGGTAACCATTGCTTTAATAGAAGAAGTTCAGAAACATTGCAGAACCGGGTATGCTGTAATTGATTTAGCTAATGCATTTTTCACTATCCCAATTGCAGAGGAACGTGGCAGGGGTGACAAGGTACTTTCTGTGGACTGCCTCAAGGATGGCTGCACAGTCCAACCGTTTGCCACAGAACAGTGCCTGAACATCTGCATGATTACAAATTGCCTCCTCATACACAAATAGTCCATTACATAGATGACATCCTGACTCAGGGAAGCTGTGAGGAAGAGGTGCAACAAATGCTGGAATCGGTTGTGGATCACATGAAACACAAAGGCTGGGAAATTCATCCTACTAAAATTCAAGGGCAGTCTCAAAAAAAAAACTTCTAGGAATTCACTGGCATTTTGGGCACTGGGAAATACTACCCAAAACTTGATACAAAATTCTAGATTTTGCAGTACCCTATGATAAGAATGAGACACAGAGGTTTATTGGATTGTTTGGTTTTTGGAGACAGCACAGACATATCTAGGCAAATTTTAACCCCGTTTATATACAAAGTGACAAGGGAGAGTTGGAGAGGAGAAATGAACAGCAAGTTGCCTCTGAATTAGTAACGGAAGCTCTTCAAAGGGCTTCAGCCAGCCACCATAAACCTTAATTTTTCATAATTGCACAAGGGCTGATCCAAAAGTAATGCCTCCCGTTTTATAAAGCTGGCACACAACACCAGAGGTGAATGTTGGTGGGATGGCAGCAGAGGTTGAACCTTCCTGCCAGCATTCAGTTACATTTTGTAGCCATGCAACAGACGGCAGCAGAGGGCCAGAATGACAGCACAGCATCTGACATGGAAGTGCAATGGAGCACAGGGCTGTCACTGAACTCCTCCACGCTGAAAAAGCTGCACCCACTGACATTCATCGATGCCTGCAGAACATTTATGAAGACCAACACGTGGATGTGAGCACAGTGAAACAGTGGGTGGTGCGTTTCAGCAGTGGCAACAGCAATGCAAGACGAGCCACCCAGACAGTCAAACAGATTTATTTTAATTATTATTTTTTTTTTTAAACAAGCACAGCACGCAGGCTCTCGCTCAATGCTGGGAAAAAAAAAAAAAAAAAAAAGATAGCTAATGGTGGTGACTATGTTGAAAAACAGCTTTGTAGCTGAGAACTCACCCTATGTATCCGTTGTCATTTCTATGGGAATAAATAGGAGGCATCCTTTCAGAGCAGTCGACAGTCATCAGTGAGCCACCATCCTAGTAATGCAGTAATACTAATAACAGAAAAAAAGTCAGATTCTCAGAATATCTTTTGTGGGGATGGAACAACAGAACCTACACTGTAGTCAGCAGCAGATAATTCCCTGGGAAGGAACTGATGCCAACTAGAAAGGTCACGGCCGGTTCCAACAGTCAAACCATACCAGCACATCAGAGCATGCAGCCTTGGAATAAACCCCAAGGATAAACCAAATTGCATCTCGGTGCCAGCAAATTTTTTCTTCAATATACATGAATAGACTGGGAGGTAGCAATCCTACAAATTCTGTTATAACATTGTGTCTTATGGTAAGAAGAAAAGCAGGATGTTTAAGACTTAGGCAGGCATTGAACCTCCAGCTCTGGAGTTGAACAATTCCAAATTCTTGATATCTTGTCATAATTTGTGTGCATACACAAGAAACAGTGCAACTCACTTCACAAAAGCAACCAAATGTATTGAAGGCGTATTTACAAGACTCTGAGGTAGAAAGCTGCTCACTGAGGTGAAGGCTGGAAATGAGGCAGGGGAGGCCTGCTAGATTGAGAGTGATTGTCTGGAAAAAGAAAGGGACAGAAGGGAAAGACATTCCTGGAATCTATCAGACGCCAATATTCATTTGAAAAGCATACTGTGCATGTAGTATAAAAAGCAACACAGCATCAGTCTGCAACTATTTATTCCACTGTCTTAACGATGATTGCTATTATACAAACTCTATGTATTTTTAATACTGCTTTTAAAAAATCACAATTTAATTTCCTCCTCCAGTGCATCATCAAATTAAGCTTCATTTGTCATACAGCTATATACAAAGTTTAGGTAGAAAAAAAGATTTCTGGAGGTCCTGGTAACACAGCCACAAGGATATCTGCTGTACAGGATAGGGCATAAACTGGGCTGGCTCTGTGAAACAGAACCTTTGTTTCCTTTGTTTACTCTACTTTTGTTGATGTACATTACCATAGCTTTCATTATGACAGTAAGGTTTCCTAGGCCATCTGTCAGAGCTGCAGAGCTTCCACCTCCTTCTAACCATCCATTCACCCTCAAGTATAACCAGGCTGAGTAAACTCCGCTGCGTGTGCTGAGATGAAACAGAACAGAAGTCAGAAGAAAATAATTGCATCTTAGTAAAAATAACTGCGATTTCTAGTCCAAACAAATTAATTTCACATACAAAAATTATTTCCAAAACAAAGTAACCAAATTTCCAAAACAAATTCTACCCATACAAGAAGATTACAGAATTATACTAAAATACATCTTAAAACATCAGTACTGTGGCAGACAGAGTAAAGAGACCCGCAAGAGAAAGTACAGAAGGGCTTCTCCCTAAGGAATCATTAACTATGGAAGGCAGGGCTGTTTGCAGGGGATTTTTTAGTGTGCATGAGCAGAAAAGAGGAACGTGACCTCAGGAAAATCTTAAGTAACATGAAATAGGAAGAGCTGCCCAGGTGTTCTGAACTGTGACAGCCATTTTCTTGAATGCTGTTACATAGCAGTAATGAGCAGAATGAAAATTAAGGCATTTGCCTTCACCTTCATGACACCATGTGCCACCTCTCTGCAGAACTGCAGCACAGACAGCACAAGGCTACTGGCACAGTAACTGCCAATCCATGTTTTCAGAAGACAGCATGAAAAGTATTTCCCTTTTCCCATGCACAAAGGATTGCTGACTTACACAGACAACAATCTCAAGTGGGATAAGAATACGGACATACTTCATTCTGTTTTCTCAAACTGAAAGGTATCAAATGTCTACTTAAGGATAAAATAAAGGAAAAAAAACCACATGGAAAGCACACTAACCTTTGCAGGCACTTCAGATCAAAATACTCTAATAGCAGTAGCTATAGAAGTTGTCATGCTCTACAGTTCCTCTGGTAGCTTTGTGGTTGGAGGTGGTGATCTTTCCATCTTTGGATTGTTTGTTTTTTAAGCACCACTAAGAAACATCACCAGTCTTTTTTCTGCACATCAATAAAGCAGAGAACACAGCTCTGAGCAGCCAGCTGTCAGGATTTGTTCTAAGAAGTAGTCAAGGACATTGACAACGCCCCATTGTTCAGGTCTTCTCATCTGGTCTTCAATGCAATCTGTTGCTATAGGACCTTGAACTTCACAGCCACAGCGTGCAGATACAGTTTAATAATGGAGTCTTATAGAAAACTGTGGCTGGCATGAAATCAAGCATCTGTACACAGGTGAGCAAAAAGGGCTCAAGTCAGGGCTTGAGATTTATCACATTGTATAAATGCACAATACGTGCACTTCAGGAGAGATCCTGCATTCTTCTAAAAGTGTGCTCATTAAAAAAAAAAAAAAGTTAAACTCAGTAGCTTCCTCAAATTAAAATTCTGCCTAAGCTCAGTGAAAGGCAACGGTAACATAGAGAACTCAAGCTCAGAGGAAATGAGTTGAACAGAAAGCTTCTTCATCAGGAAGAATTGATTTACCATACAAAAGCCAACATAAAAGCAACACTGCATTTACAGATTTGGATCTGTTCTACAATAATTTCTGAATACAAGATTGGGCTGCCACAATGCTAAACCAATGGGGCTTGTGTTATCACAAAGGGCTTGTAAAAGGAAGAAAACAACAGGAGTAGGACCAACCTCCAAATAAGATACTAAAGCATATGAGAGCCAGGAAGTCATGTAGCAAGTTTGTTAAACCTTTAGATTTGCAGGAGACAAGACAGCCAACTCAAATTTCCTTTTACAGGCACACAAGTCCTTTCTGCTGTGCTGTTTCAATTATTTCAGACAATGCATTTTTCTTCATTTATCCAAAATGGAGTTATATAAAAGCTATAAACAAAATAATTTCAAAGCTTAAGATAGTGGCACCTTCCCTTTCTTTAAGAAGACTTTTTTTAGATTAGCCATTATTTCACTGGAAACAAAGTCTTCTTCCTAGTCTGTTTTAAGATGATTCATACAACTTCCCAACAACTTCCTTTCAGATTTCAGTTCAGCAAGAAAATGTACATAAGACAGTAAATATCTCAGAAGACTGCAGCACGTTTTAGACTGGATTCTCAGAAAGAAGTTATACAGACACCCCAGATAACAAAATCCTTACACCTATTCTTTGTAACTGAAGAAGAACAACCTGAGAGAGACCTAAGACACATACAGACAGATTAACTTTATGATGTTACAATACAGAGCTCTTACTTTATGGAACAGGCAAATCAGAACATGTAATAAAAACCTGGAGCTGTATACCAATAATAATACTTAAATAAGGGCCTCGTATCCATTGGAACGTCCCTTGAGAATCTGAAGGAGTTCTGGATCTCTGACTTATAAAATCAGCTCTTTGCCAGCCAGTAAGAAGACCAATTTGTGCAGTTCAACTGCAGCTTCCTATTTAGCATGCACTTACCAAGTTCAGATAATAAAAAAAACCAAGCATCTAAGGATCTGATCCTGTGTTCCTGTTAGCACTTCGTGCCTACAGCTGCCACAGGAGGTCAGGAAGTGAAGCAGGCACAGGATGAAGGTCTCTGCTCTGGAGAAAATCAGACAAGCAAAGCACGTGTGACAACAAAGGAGCACAACTTGAGAAGCTTCGCTGCGGGCAGTGAGAATTCAGAAATGCAGCCTCACGATAAATCACTTGTATTCACCGCTGGGATCAAGCCTAAGCCCTGACGCCATCTGACACGAGAAGATCGTTGGCACGTCCCTGCCTAGGCTGTTACACTGCTGCAGAAAAGCAAAAACAGGCTGAGAAGCATCAATGCAAGCACGCCAAGTCCCACAGATTCCCTACCTTGTCTGGTGCCACATAACAACATCGCTCCGTTAAAGCTCGGGGGCCAGACGTGTTTGCTGAACAAAGAGCAGAGAGATCCCAAGGCTGCGATTCACCCATCAGCTCAATTCCGAGCCTCCTCTCTTCAGCTTCTCTCATCAGCCACCGCTCGCAGCCTCAGCAGCCGCTCTCGCCGTTCCCGCAGGCACACGGGAGGTCTGGGTGCCACCTGGGAAGGAAGCAGACATTGGAAAGACATCCTAAAGCTCTGTGCATCGCTCACCGCCACAGCGTGCGGGCATCCGCCGGCCCCGCTCACCCCCCTGCCGCCGATCCCGGCCCTGCGGCGCCGTCCCGTACGTGAGCGGCACCGACCCCGGGAGCCCCCGGACCCCACCGAGATCCGACCGCACGGCACAGCCAAGAGGAGCGGACAAACCCGGCGCGCCGCCCGGCACCGCGCCGCCACCACGGCCCGCCGCCCGCCACGTGACCGCGCGACCCGGCCGTCACCGGGCAGGGCGGCCGCGGGGTGAAGCTGGCGGCCGCCATTTTGAGAAAGGGCACGGCGAGCCCCGAGCGGCGGGAGGCGCTGAAGAGCGGGTGAAGCCGTCGAGGAGCCACGTTGGCTGTGGGAACGCGGCCGGGCGGAGCTTCCGGCGTTCTAACGCTTCGAATTCGGCAATTGGTAAATGCTTCGTTTGCGTGTGTTGCGCACGTACCGTTAGGTCGAGAGTCCTCGGCGCTGAGGGGTGCGGTGTTCCTGTAATAAAGAAAAATGCAGCGCAGGCAAAGCGGCGGCAGGAGTATTTCTCAACTCGGGCAGCGGCACGTCGCGCTGCTGGCAGGCGCTGCTTCGGCTCGGTCGGTGCCGTTCTGCGCGGCACAGACGGGGCGAGAGGAGACTCACAAGTGCCGCTGCACGAAATCGTAGCTCGGTTCGGTACCGCCGCGCCGTCGTTTCACAAAGGGCTCCGTGCTGCGAGTGCTGCGGCAGCTCGGGCGCACCGAGCGGCAGCTGGGCATTGCACGCAGCCTGCGGAGCGCACGTGGGCAGGTGGGGATCGGCTGATAAACGGCGCGGGGCTGCAAGCCGGCAGGGAGATGGCTTACGCTGGTACCAGGCAACGGGCGTCGGGGTAAAATCAAGGTCTGAAGAACGTTTGGATCCTTTTGGAGTTCTGTACGGCGACCCGACCGATTTCAGCTTCAGAATCACAGAATGGCCAGGTTGGAAGGGACATCAAGGATCACAAATCTCCAGCCTCCTGCCACATGCAGGACCACCAACCTCCCCATTGAATACTAGACCAGGCTGCCCAGGGCCCCATCTAATCTGGCCTTGAACACCTCCAGGGATGGACGGGGCATCTGCAGCCTCTCTGGGCAGCTGTTCCAGCACCTCACCGCTCTCTGAGTAAAGAATTTCCCCCTGACATCCAACCTCTATCTTCCCTCTCTCAACTTCAAACCATTTCCCCTCGTCCTGCTGTTATCTACCCTTTCAAAGAGTTGATTCCCCTCCTGTCTGTAGGCTCCCTCGAGGTACTGAAGGCTGCAGTGAGGTCACCCCGCAGCCTTCTTTTCTACGGGCTGAACAAGCCCAGCTCCTTCAGCCTGTCCTCATAGGGGAGGTGCTCCAGTCCCCTGCTCATCTCTGTGGCTCCTCTGGACCCTCTCCAACAGCTCCCTGTCTTTCTCGTACTGGGGGCTCCAGACCTGGACGCAGTGCTGCAGATGGGGCCTCACAAGAGCAGAGTAGAGGGGGACAATCACCTCCCTGTCCCTGCTGGCCACCCCTTTTTTGATGGAGCCCAGGATCCCATTGGCTTTCCCAGCTGCAGGAGCGCACTGCTGGCTCACGTGCAGCGTTTCATCCATCGAGACCCGCAGGTCCTTCTCTGCAGGGCTGCTCTCAAGGAAGGCTCCTTGCAGTCTGTTCCCTCCTCTCAATCGCGTCCCCGAGCAGCACATCCAGACGGCTCTGAAACACATCAGGGATGGCGACTCAACCGCCTCCCTGGGCGGCCCGTCCCCGTGCTTAACAATCCTTTCTGTATGGAAGTTCGTCCCGCTGCCGCAGCCAGAACCGCAGCTGCCGCGCTGACGGATGGCGGAGCTTCGTGCCGCACCCGCAGCACGTGGTCCCCGGGCTGCCGGTGGCACGGCAGGATGCTCCCCTCCCCGCCTCCCGCCGCCCCTCGGCTCCGGCGTCCTCCTATTATCCGCCTAAGGACACGGAGACCCCGCAGAGGGCTCTGGAGCGGCCGATCGACGGCCGATGCCAACGGCACGAGGTTCAACGCCGCCAAACGCTCCGCCGCCCCGCGGCCCCGCCGCCGCCCGCCCCGCGCCTCGGGGACGCCGGGCGGTCGGGGGAAGGCGGCGCGGGGGCCCGTCCGTCCCCCGTCGGCACCGAGCCGTCCTCCGGAGTCGCCGTTCGGACGGGCGCCGGTTGGGAACGCGGTCATCGCTCTGGTCGTCGCTCTGCGCGGTCGTTGATTAAACGTTTGACGTTCGTTTCTTCTGCCCGGGGTCGTTTCTGCAGCTCCGGCAGCCCGCCCCGTCCCCGTGCCCACCGCCGGGTGAGGACGGGGCGGCGCAAACGGCTGCGTCGTAGGACTGCGACCGCCGGCCCCGTTCCTCCCCCCGCATCCCCTGCCCTCCTCGGCACCGCGTGGGAAATGGCTGGGGTGGGAGAGCCGGGGCGGATTCCGGGAGAGCCGGGGCGGCTCAGCCCGCAGAAGAGGAGGCTCGGAGGGATCCCGGGCACGGCCGTCGGTCCCCGCACGGAGGTGCGGAGAGCGCGGAGCCGGGCTGCGCCCGGCGGTGCCCAGCAGCGGGAGCAACGCTGCAGCACAGCAGGGTTCCCCGCAGAGCTGCCGCCGCCGCGCCGCTTCCCCCTGCTTGCGCTAAGAGGCTGCGCAGCCCGTGCGGGCGGTGCGCGCCCAGAGGTGCCCGCACGTCCCACGCAGCACGTCCAGCAGCTGGGGGTCGTTGGGGCGGTTGCAACGAGCCGAGAGCCGCAGCTCCTCCGGCTCAGCTTTCCCTGTTTGTCACCGCTGAGCCCCCAGCTCGGCTCAGCGCCGTTGGATATTTTCGCCGATGATCGCGGTGCAGGAGATGAGTGCATCCTCGTGAAATCCAGCGGGCATCCTAAGGCACGAGGTGCTGCTGGCACTCCCGAGGTTTTTAAGGGGTGGCAGGGAAGACTGGCGGGCTCAGGGCAGTAGCTGGGGGCTCTCGAAGGGACTTTGAGGTGCCGTGGGTTCAGAATCGCGGTTTTTCCTCCCGTTTCACACAGAAGGTGGCAGTTTGGCTCCGCACCTCGAGGTGGCAGCAGGACCCTCAGCAACGGAAACGTCCGCTGCCCAGAGCCCCGTGTCTGGCTGTGGGAAAGACGGAGGGTGGAATAAACGTAGAACGTGCACAGGAGGTTATCAGATGAATTCAGCGTTGGCACCAAGCTTCCCCCAGCAGCTCTTTGCAGGCAGCTCAGTCATCGTGTTTTATTCTCTCCTCACCTCTCCAAAGCATTATCCTCATCTGCCAGCAGCTGTTACCCCCGACCTTGTCACTGGGCAGTGCTTCAGCAGCACCAAGTTGCCCCTGAGGCAACACCTCATTCACCTCGCTGCGTTAGCACTCAAATGCTATTCTCATTAAACTACTTTCTTTCTTTCCTCCTCCAAATAAAGTCTTTGTCAGACTACAGGAATAGAAGGCTGAATCTGGGACAGCCACTGTCTGCAGAACAGTCTGGCACGAGGAAGCAATGCTGAAGGCCGAGAGAGGTCTGTGCCAAGCAGCACATCTGCAAGCCACAAGGGAAATATCACCCTGCAGCCCTTCTCCTCTGAAACACAAGGGAACACCTTAGATAGACAGAGCACACTTCATAAGCTCAAAATCCAGCACGTCAAGCTGGCAAGAGAGGATTCTGAGCTGCCCTCCACAGTGGGGTCCGGCACGCAGAGCTGGGTAGGAACTTACTGGCACTGGCAGGGCCCTTTCTTGCAGCACTCCTGGTAGTTAGGACTAAAATCATGAAGAAATCATAACAGATTCTCAATCACACAAAGTTCTCTGTGAAAACGACACGTAACATTGTTCCTTCTACAAGCAAACAAGCCCAATACATGCTGGTAAAAATTCCTGCACCAAAAAGAAACAAAGATGGCACGGCAGGACAGAAACAGGTAGCGTGCGTGTTTAAAGGCATTTCAGAGCCTGATGGCTCTTGCTGCAGCACACCTGACTGGTGTTAAAAGCTGAACAGCCACAAGAATACCTGTTTCCATCAGGTACCTGCCATCATCCAGAAGAGCCAGACTTCTGAGGTCACCTGGCCCAAACGTTCCTTTTTCTCAGCACTTTATT